GGGATACATGGGCTTTAGGCTGTCGGAGTTGGTTGGAGGGGTCCCTATAAGGTTCTGAGATACAGCCATTAAGCATCAGAACGCTAGACCCTAAACTCTAAATCCTAAATCTTAAATCCCAAACCTTTAAACCCTAAACCCCGAAACCCTAAATCTTAAATCCTAAATCTTCAAACCCTAAACCCTAAACCCCGAAACCCAAAATCTTAAATGCTAAACCCTAAACTCCCCTTCAGCCACCTCGCCACCCAGAGCACGGCAGCAATACCGGGCCTGAGCAAGGCAAGCCAGGGAGGAAGATGGCTTAGGGTTTTTAGGGTTTGAAGTTTAGGGTTTTTAGGGTTTAAGGTTTAGGGCTTAAAGTTTAGGGTTTAGGGTTTAAAGTTTGGGGCTTAGGGTTTAAGTTTGGGGTTTAGGGTCTAGGGTTTTTAAGTTTGGGGTTTAGGGTTTAAAGTTTAGGATTTAGGGTTTTAAGTTTGGGGTTTAGGGTTTAGGGTTGAAAGTTTAAGGTCAAAACAAGTGACATGGCAGCACAGTAAATGCCATATGGTAAGTTGTCAAGAGTTATGGTCCTTTTTTGGGTCTCCACTGAGTACGGCCCCTTATGTGCTAATATGTAGGGTGTCAATGGAATATGATTTTGACCACCTCCCATATGAGCTAGAGTCTACACTCCTTGTCTCCCCCCTAGTAACCCCTAAAATACTCCCCATCATCCCCTATCTAACCCCTATAAGGAGTTTAAACTTATGTAGACCCATGACTAATAAACCTCCTCCTTTTTTGGGCCTTAATATTAGGATCCCTAGTATAATCCCTACTAAGGGGAAGGGTTTACTAATCAGGGGTCTACCCTAAACCCTAAACCCTAAGCCCTACATTACAGCCCATCTGATCCTGGGCATGTGAATTCCTCCAGGTGAATAGTGTTTTCTTTGGTGGTTAAACCCAGTAAGATTATGTTCCTTATATAAAATACTATACCCCAAGGGAGGATATAATCTTACTCTATATTGGGTACCACAGTATCCCCAAATAAAATACTGCTCAGGTGAGCTGCCACCTCATCATGGTTTTGCACCAACTTCCAGGCCGCCTGACAGCTCTTCAGGGTTTAGGGGTTTAGGGGTTTTGGGGTGTAGGGGTGTAGGGGTTTAGGAATTTAGGGGTTTAGGGTTTAGGGGTTTAGGGCTTAGGGGTATAGGGTTTAGGGGTTTAGGGTTTAGGAGTTTAGGGTTTAGGGCTTCTGCTTTTGAAGCTTATGTGGATCGCCCACATGGAGCGTACCCAAACAAGAACCCTAACCCTAATCCCCAAACCCTAAACCCCATAACATACCCCTATACATTCCCTACATACCCCTATATATCCCTATATACAACCCCCCTTACTGGTATAGGTGAAAAAAAAGCAGGGAAGCCTCCACAAATGGGCGCCGGAGGATCGAGCTGGCCTCTGCGTCTGTCAGTGGCTCCACGTCCCGCCTCAGTACAAGAATGCTTCAATAGCGTTTTTTTGGTGGTTGAACCTAGTAAGATACTATTCCTTATATAAAATACTATACCCCAAAAGGAGGATATAATCTTACTCTATTTTGGGTACCATAGTACTCCCAAATAAGATACTACTCACTTGAGTTTCTTATACTGATACTTACCATACTCATGCCGGAAAATGTCACTAGAATAGCTCTTACTATAACATCGGTCAATAATCACGGCATGCAGCCTGCAGAAACCAACCCTAAACCCTAAACCCCTTTCGGGGCCTGCTCAAAAGCAGCGCATCAAACAGCAATAGTAAATGGCCGAGGCACTTCAGCGCGAATGGCAACTCATAGTTCCTCTGCCCAAGCCCGCTTCAAGTCACCACAGCAAATAGGGTTATGTGGGGGTATATACGGGTCATATAGGGGTCATATAGGGATGTTATATGGGGGTATGTAGGGGTTATATTGGGGGGTCATGTAGGGATAATTGAGAAAAGAAAAATGGAAGCTAGTATTTGGAGTTTAGGGTTTCCGAAAATTCGGGGTCCCTTTTTGAGGGTCCCCACTCTAAGCACAAGAGTATCTGGGGGCGTGTTTGGGATCCCGCTATTGACGGAAACCCCCAAATCCAAACAGCACTTTCATGCTAGTTAAACCCTAAACCCTAAACCCTGAACCCTAAACCCTGAACCCTGAACCCTAAACCCTGAACCCTAAACCCTAAACCCTAAACCCCAAACCCTAAACCATAAACCATGAACCCGCCTAAACCCTAAACCCTAAGGCCTAAGACAGCTGCTGCCAAGCAACTCCGGCAGAAGCTTCCTCCACCTTGCCTTGTCAAACCTGCTCATTGGGCTCCTCTGCCTTGGCTCAAGGGAACATAGTTTGCAAGGCTATAGGGTTTAGGGTTTAGGGTTTAGGATTTAGGGTTTAGGATTAGTATTATTATTATTGCTTTTATTCTACGATTATACTTACTATTATTGCTATTATTACCATGATTTTCAGCACAGTTTCTCTAATGAACCCTATAAACCCCCACATGCATCAGCGCTCCGCGTTCCCAGGTCCCCCCCCCCCCAGTGTCCCCATCTAGGGGTGAAGCCATATCTAGAAACCCCAAGAAGCATGAGGTCTCTGTGAAATCCTGAACCCCAGACCTCTCAACCCTCACCACAGCACCACAGTGCCAGAGGAGACCTCTGTAAGCCCGCAAGAAAATGTCCATAAAACCTTGATCAACCCTCATAAGCCGTCTATGAAGCTATGAAGCCTTTGTAAACCTTCAAAAAGGCCTAGAAACCACCCCCGCCCCCTAAAACCTCTTGAACCCTTCAGAAACTGCTGCAAAAACTATGGACCCTGTGGGTAAACCTTTGTCGATAAACCTTGCAGAACCCCTCTGTGAACCTGTAAACCCTCAACAATTTTAGCTTCAACCCCTTTTTAAACCACCAAACCCGGACCATAAGACCACAGAAAGCGTAGATTATTCATACTTTATATCATGGACCATGGGGGGAATGGGAGACCCGTGAATGCTGGCGCATATGCCATCCTAGTTTCAAGTCCATAAGCCCTATAAAAGCGCAGTTTCCATTTCGTTGTCCAGGGTTTAGGGTTTAGGGTTAGGGTTTACCCTTGGTGCACATTTCATCTTCCATGTTCTTTCCAGCTGGTTATCCAGCATTCTGGGACAAAGTTTGTCCCAGAATGATATATAAAAGGGTACATACCCTTTTATAGGGACTGGGGGTTTCCTCCATTTAATGTTCCAGGTTCTTTTCCATTTGGTTCTCCATTGCTTGCGAGAGTATCTGGGTTGTTCTCGAAAATATGGGCGCCTTTTGGTTTTCGATTATATTACGGCAACGAATATTTAGGGGTACCTAAAAGAAGAAACTACATTGGGCCCCACAACCCTGAACCCTAATCCCTAAATCCTGAACCCTAAACCCTTTTTTATCTTAAACCCTTGCATTAAACCCTTGCAAAACCTGTACCCTAAACCCTAAGCCCTAAACCCTAAACCCTAGTCCCGCCCAGGCACGGGGATCCGAAAGCTGGCTCCAAAGCCATGCATAGACTCAGTCAGGGTACTTGGAGGGTCAGGGGTACTTAGTAATAATGGAAAAAATGGAAACTACTAGGGTTTAGGGTTTAGGGTTTAGGGCTTAGGGTTTAGGGTGTAGGGTTTAGGGTGTAGGGTTTAGGGTCAGGGGGACTTAGTTACTAGGTTAATAATGGGGATAATTGGGGTTATTATATGGGTTATAGTTATAGGGATGATTAACCTACTTACGAAGTCCACTTGACCCTCCAAGTACGGATTGAGTGCGCTGGAAAACACACAGGGTTAAGGGTTTGGGGTTTGGGGGTTACGGTTTGGAGTTGGGGGTTTAGGGTCTAGGGCTTAGGGTTCAGGGTTTCAAGCTTTACGGGCTTCAGGGTTCAGGGGATTTGCGAAGAATTGTATGAGCAAACTCACACCAACGCTGCAAGTACCTTCTAGCAGTGTGCAGTAGATCCTCAGAAAATAAGTTCAACGGCAGAGAGAAAAACGACAAGAAATGTACTGGCAATCAATAAAACTGCAACAATAACAGGAATAAGGACTGTAGAATTCTGAGCCTCAATTTCGGTAAACCTCCTAGTGATATAGAGGGGTTGTGAGGGGATTATGAAGGGGTCTCCGCAGGGATTACCCTGAACCCTGAACCCAAACACGGCTACGACAAGCCCGAAACCCTACACCCTAAACCCCTAAATCCTGAACCCTACTTGAAGGTTCATGAGACTCAGTACCTACATATAACTGGGCCTATAACCCGACGTATGACCCCCCTACATGGACGTATAGGGGTTATGCCAAATACAAGTCATGTTAGCCCAGGTATCCCTAGACCCTAAACCCTAAACCCTACATGAACCTCTAAGTACTACCATCCTCCCGCCTGTAGTAGTCGCCTCTGGTTGCCCGGTACCATGGAAGGGCCTGGCCAGGTTTGGCTGCAGTTCAGTAGGGTTCAGGGTTTCAGGTTTAGGGTTTAGCTTTTATTTATGGTTTAGGGTTAGCCTATTTGTTGAAGGGTTTAATGTTTAGGGTTTAGGGTTTAGGGTCTAGAGTTTAGGGTTTAGGGTTTTTAAGTTACTGGTTCGTAGTAGGGCATAAGGGAATATAATCCCTATAAAATATATTCCCTGATTCCCTATTACGAACCAGTATTTTAAAGGGTTGTAGGGGGCTTATATGATAACCCCTTTAAAGGAGTTATGCAACAGTTTGTATGGGATTTACAGGGTTAAGTTACCCCAATGGAAGATGACATAGGCGGAGAATCAAATGGAAAATGGGAATGCGTGGGGAGTATGTAGAGAAATAAGTCCTTAAATCAAGATACCATGATACAGATACATCTTGTATAATGGGGTTTCCTAATTGCGGTGAGTTAGCTAAAGCTCCTTCACAGCAACCCAGGAAGTGTCCAAGCAGGCACAAAAGCCGAGCCTCAAAAGCCTGCAGCCACTTGTCTATGGCTGGAAAATCTGCTCGTACATCCATCGCCTGCAAAAGAAATAAAAACGAAACAAACTCCGCTGTCTCAGCTGCGGGGCTATCTGGCAGATATCACGCCTTGTAGAAGAAGGCGCTCGCAACAATTCTTTCCATGGTGCAGACATACTGGATGTCCACGATTGTAGGATGCTCATAGGGCAGAAACCAGGGAGTGTCTGCATTTCTCTCCTTACAAACAAAAGTTTCAGATTGCACGTTCCACTTCATTGCACTAGGCTATCAAGTCAATGGCGCAGGGCATCCCCATAGAAGTGCCTGTATCACCCCATAATCCCTGTATGGTCCCTAGAATCCACTGCCCCATCCCCTGATATGATAAGTTCCCAAAATGGGGGGGGACCCCAGCATAGACCCCAAAACAATATAATCCTCATAATGGGGACCCCCGAAAAGGTACCCCTAATTTTAGGAAACCTCCATATGCGCAAGCAGGCCGGAATGTGCCGAGCATCCAGAGCAACCTGAACTTGGCCTAAAGCTGCTGCAAAATCCACAGCTGGCTCGTTGATGAAGGACATTTCAGGACGGAAAAGGTAATTGCCTGAGCGCTTATGCGTCCAAGTGCCATCTTCAGCTTCGAACTTCCAAAGGATCTGAAGAGGGGGACACGGGGGGAGAAAGTAAGAAAAGACAGGGAGCTAGAAAAGCGGGTGGAAGATAAAGACTGAAAGACGGAAAAAGATACCGAAAGAAATTAAGCGAGGCATGCAGGGATGGAAAGAACGAAAAGATAACGAAGATATAGAGGGGGGTGTCAAAATGATGGTCCTTTACTGGGTCCGTATTAACATGGCCCTAAGTTTCAAATTACCAAAAGGGGACGAGACTTGTGACCACCTGCTATATGCAGGAAGGACAGCTGATGGGTGGAGCTTGGGGCGTGACCATGGACAAAGCAGCGGCCCAAAGTTTTGGTAGCATCAGAAGGGCGGCAGCGTTGGGGAACAACATCAGTTCAAAGGCTTGCAACCAACATGATTGATACTTATTACAGCATTCATAGCAAGAATGAACCCTGGCTGAAGGTTGTCACCTGCAACGCATCAGCCCCTAGACGCTCCAATTGTTGGCGCTTGCTTGGTGATTGGTTCAGGCGGAGACATCGCTGTCGCCATGGCTCCTTGATCTGTTTAGACACCTTTCAACACAACACCATAACCGCTGAGGGTATTCCTACACCAAATACATCAAACCCCATGAGCTCAACCTGCGATGAATTAGCTCCGCCAAAACCTGTTCAAGAAACAAACCAGCCGAATCATCGCGATCGCGGTGTGCTGAAAGCACTTTGCATGCAATCTAAACGGACCTTCGGAATCACGATTTTGTAAATGCACAACACTAAGATTTCAGAAATCATGATAGGAATAATATGCGGTCACAGGACATTCTTACGGCATATGTGACGATAGGGGGTCTAGATGAAACGCAATCCGCCAACCAGACAATGGAGCATTTGCCCTGCAAGTTCCTTTGTGTTTCAATGAGCGCAAAATAGACGATGCAAATGGCTCCCATGCGTCACCTTCCTCTGCAAGAGCCGTCCCCTGAATGGAAGTTGCAAATTTGAGAGCCCGGTGGCACCTCTGTTCATGGGCACAAATTGCAGTTGACTTACAAATATTTTCAGCAGCTCCTTGCCGTACGTGGGGTTGCTTCTGTCTCTGCCCCAGATGAACAGGCAAGGCTCCGTTCGCTGTTGGACTTGGACGCGTCATAATTTGGCACGCAATGCCATTCGGGACAGTCTTGCTGGGACCTGGCAACCCTAGGAGGTACCGGAAAGATAGTGCAAGAATTGGGAAACCTTGGACCAACTCAACACCCGACTGAAATGTCGTTTGCCGCGAGGCGTTGGAGAGGAAGAAAGAATTGCCTCCTGGTGGCTCGTCTAAATGCAAGTGTAGCAACCGCTGACAAGACGCTGCGTTACAACATTGCCCAGCGCCGTTCCTGGTTCCTGCGCAGTCTGCACGTGATGCTGTAAACCGCTTCGGCGCCCTCGCCCTACGGTTGGAGAAATCCCTTTGAGCCTCATCTTTATCTAAGAGGAACTCCCACAAGCGGCACTCTGCAAAACTATAAAACTGACCCGAATCCAGCCGCAACCCAACCTCTGAACCTTGAACCCTACATACTGCACACCTAAACTTCAGATTCTGAACCCTTGCAGCTTCGTGTCTAAAGAAAGAGACTCCTCACGCCATAGGTGTAAACTTCTAGACTCTCAGCTATAAGGGGTTACGTCACCAGCACGTGAGATATAGTCTAAACTCCTAGTATCCCCCTCAATGACGCCCATAGTACCCCCCTAAATAATCCCCTTTATAATCCCCTATATAACCCCCTTTAAGGAGTTTAGACTATAGCTCATGTAATGACCTGATTGAACTGCTACTGGGTGGGAGCAGAACCCGCGCAATGCACCAGCCAATTTGTAGAACT